AGGAAGGGCTGGGCCCCAAAGGCAGCAGCCTCTTCCTGAGATGGCTCCTGTCTGCAGCATAATTAGTCCTTTCCTCTAACCTCTCCTCTTTTTTTGATGGTGGGACACTTCTCTGTCCCTTACCACTTTTCTTCTTTCGTCTGGGTGTTTACCTGATAAGCTCTTGGCAGTCCTGAGTGGCCTCTGCTGTGAATGATGGCCTCTGTGTCTAGGGAGCCACAGACAATCTCAGAGGACATTTAGGTGGCTAATACCTAGGGATGTGTAATGGCTGCACTGGCATCTGATTGTGTGACCATTTGGTTTTAGGAAAGAGACTGATAGGCACATTGGCCCCTGGGTGTGCAGTCGCAACTGAATTGGGAAACCACCTCAGGTGTCCTGGGTGGGAGCAGGAACTGGATGCTCCTTACTATGTTTTCTGATACATTGGACCACCAATCTCTGAGGATGGGATCCTTTAGACCCTACTGGGTCAGGGGACAAACTGCATCAGCAGTAAGGCAAGTGACAATGACAAGATTTGCCCATGAAGCAGTGTAAGCCTCTTTTGTGGCATGGTGACTGTAAGGAGGGTGACCCATGCTCTGTTACCAATGGATCCCTGTACCCTCCTGGGACTGGTGTCTGGACTCTTCTCTAGGATGCCCTCTCAAAAGGTTAGGCCAGTGTGATCAGTCCTGCAAGATAGGGAGGGAGGGTCACTCAGCGGAGGAGCCACCACTGGCTTCAGTGTTGTTGGCTCAGTTGATCACAGTTGTGTCCCAGCAGTCTGGGGCACCCCAGCCTGGTGCAAAGGCTGGTTATTCAGTTGTGCTGCTTGCCCCTGGGGTCACCAGCCAAGAGGCTGGGTGTGTTGACCGTGGAAAAAAGACTGATGAGATCAGTCTCTTTCAGCTAAGGTGCCAACCATGGAGCCTCAGCCCTCTCAGACTCAGGTTACCGCAACTCTAAGGAAGGACCTAAGGCACAGTCTCTCAGACTCTGCCTAGGGTCTAAGAAAGATGTAGATCAGTGAAGATACATACCTTGTCTAATCTTACTGCATAAATTTATTTCAAATTTAAACAACGTAATGCATTTAAATTGCATGGCATGATCCTTAGGTTATGATTTCACCTTATAAATATTTTGAAGTGCGTGGACCTAGGAACCACCGATCAGCAAAGTCTTCTCAGGAAGTGACATTTGAGCTGACTCCCAAGAGTGAGTTAGCAAAGAGGAGCAAGGTAGGAGAGATAGGAACCTTTAGGATAGAAGGGTTGATACGTACAAAGGCCCTGAGGTCACAAGGAGAGTGACTACCAATGGCACTGAAGGAAGGTCTCATCCACCTTTCTACTGCCCACCACCAAGCCCTGTGCTGGGCACGTAGCAGATGTGAGGGAGCATTTGCTTGGTGACAGCCGGTGGATCAGGACCTGCCCGAGGGGCCTCCCGTGGGTGCTGGGGCCTCCCGTGGGTGCTGGTGCCTCCCTGACTTCTCTACAGACACCATGTGTCTTTTTCTCCTGCATCTGTGCTTGGCTCCATGTGACAGAGCAGCTCAGTCTTCACCCTGCAGGATATTTATTGTCTTCCCTAACAAGAAGCTCAGAAGTGGGGCTGGCCCCTGGTGGGGGTGGCTGCCAGCCCAGTGTCTTCATTTTTGCTTCCTGTCTTTGGTCTGTGTCCTTCAGCAGGTTCCTTCAGAGAAGTCCCAGGACACTTCAGGAACAAGCAGAACTGTAGATCCCTGTATGCAGCTATTACCCTCCTACCTCAAATGGCATGTCATTAAGGAATGGCACTTGAAAGTTGGTGGAGACCAGGGGTTTTCATCCTTCCTTCAATGCCAGAATCATCGGGAGAGGTTTTTAAATCTTATACCTGGGCCTTACGCACAGGGATAGTTTCAGTCACGTGTGAACCAGACACATCCCAGGCAGTTCTGATGCACAGGTGGTTGAGATCCACTTACTTGGATCAGTTGGATCACCTTCTGGAAAACACCTCCCAGGCTCTCAGGGTGACAGCTGAACACTTGGAATTCCATGCGATGGAATCAAAGGGAACAGATGCCATCTACACAGCCAGCATTACTGCCTACAGTTCAGGATGCCAGTGTCGGGGTTTGGGCCCTTGCTTTCCAGGTCACCTGTCAGTTTTCGTTTGTGCATTTGGGAGTAGCTTCATTTGAGGTCTTGTCCTCATCCTGAAGTCCCAGACTAGATTGGTGTTCTTTCTTTTCACAAAATCCTCATGTCTTCTCTCTCTCTCTCTCCACGAACAGGGTGTCCTGTTCCCAGACCTGAGCTGATCTACCAACTGGAACATGGGCAGGAGTTGTGGATGGTGAATAGAGACCTCTCCCAAAGCACCTGTCCAGGTAGGAGCCTAGAGGTGGGCAAGTGGGAAGTCTCACAGGCTTGGGACCTGAACGAGACCACTGGCCATGAATCCCTGGGGAAGCTTCTTGTTGTGGCCTGTCTGGTGGTTTGGAAGCTGTGGAGCCCTTGGTCCCATGGGCCCTCTGACCTCATGGAGAACAGGGTTGTGTGAGTTAAGATCTGTCTCGGGCTCAAAGCCCAGCGTGGCCATAGCAGAGTCACACAATCATCATGTCTCTGTGTGAGTTAAAACTAGCTACCAGATCAGAGAAGCTCCAGTCTCAGTGCTTAGCCCCGCTGTTTCTCCCACTCACAGCGGGGTCCATGTGGGTCAGCAGGGAGCCGCGTACCACCCAGTTATTCAGGATCCTGGTGCATTCTGCCATCAACATGTGGCTTCAGGTGCTTCTGACATCCTCCAGCTGATAGAGGAGAATGGAGAGAGGAAAGGAGGATGTTACACCTACTCCTACAGACACCAATTCCCCTCATGTCCCACTGGCAGAACTAGGCGTTCGGGGCACACTTGGTAGTGTGGTGAAGCTGTGTGTCCAATTTGAGGAGCAAAGGGTTTGGTGAGTGTAGTCGGCTACACTCAATCTCTTCCCAGAAGATGCTAGTAATAACAGTTTCCATGTCATCAGGTTGTTTTGGGCTTTAATCACATAATGCATTCACATGTAAACCTACTGAGTGTAGTGTCTGAGCCATAGTAAGTGGCTCCTGAAAGGTAAGCCATTGGTGCTGTCATGCCCATTGGTCATAGTCACATACCCCATGTTTCCCTCTGCATTTTGAAGAGAAGGGCCTCTCTTCTCTCAGTTACTCCCTCCGGGTGTACTCTACCTATCCCCAAGACCTCCCTGCTTCATCCAGTCTTCTTCCATTTGTCAGAAACACAGGGACTCCCTTTTTCCTGTCTCTCTGCACCTGTTTGGTAAGACCTCAAGGTAACATTTGACCACCTCTGCCCCACATCTGGGCTGCTGAGGGCATTGAGGCTGTCACATGTGGAGACAGGTGCCACTGCAGTCATGTTCTGTGCCCTTGGGCTGCTCAGCCAGCCCATGAGTGTGTATGCAGCCCATCCTCAGCTCTTTAAGAGTCTGTTTTAAGCCTTCTGCCATCTCCTCAGTCCCATGTCTCCACATGAAAGTCTCAAAGGCCCCAGAGTCAACATGCCCAACAAGGAACCCACGACGTTGCTCATTCCCACCTCCCAAGATTCAGCAAGCAGGTTAACTTGTCATCCAAGCAGTTTAGAGATCAGATGTGGCCTCAGAGAATAACTAGCACCTCCGCCTGCCCATCCTACACCCATCCAGACCACACCACTTCCCACAAGTGTTGGCATATGGCCGAGGATGTGCCAACCAGTTTCCATGTGGAAAGTAGACTCCCTCCTATTGCTTGGTCCTCACCCTTCCACATTCATCTAGACTTGTTTGTAGCTTCTCCTGTTACTCAGTGGAAGAGGTCCTTGCCCTGGCCATGGCCAAGTCCTGAGTCTAGATCCAGCCTCTTCAGGGGAATTCATTCTTTGCTTACATGCTTTTTTCGTAACTTCATCCTTTCTCTACTCAAAAATATACTCAAGTTCCTTATAATTGAAGAAAATAAGAAGTGCTTCTTCATCTAGACTTGTTTGTAGCTTCTCCTGTTACTCAGTGGAAGAGGTCCTTGCCCTGGCCATGGCCAAGTCCTGAGTCTAGATCCAGCCTCTTCAGGGGAATTCATTCTTTGCTTACATGCTTTTTTCGTAACTTCATCCTTTCTCTACTCAAAAATATACTCAAGTTCCTTATAATTGAAGAAAATAAGAAGTCTTATTTTCTTACATTGTATTTCTTATCTTACATTGTATTCATCCATTCTCCGAGGCATTTAATTTTTTGCATCTTTTCACTCACAAATAGTGCTGCCCAGAACGTTCGTATATATTGATCACCTTGAACATGGTTGGGCGCGTCTTTGATGTTTCTTGGAGTAGAATTGTTGGCTTGTAGGCTATGCAAATTTTCAAGTTTACACGATAATTGCCGTTATTTTCTAAAGAGGCTAGACCAACTCACACTTCTCCCAGGAAAAAATGGGAGGGTCCACTGATCATATCCTGTCCAGTGTTTGGTATTATGTCAACATGCTTATCAAGTGGGCACACAATTAATTGTATCTCATTTTCTTTAGCACCTTATCATATGATTGTTGGCCAATCTGTGTTTTTGTCTTTGAAATGTCATTTCATGATAAATGCCTATTTTTCTATTAAGTTGTTTGCTTTTTGATATGTAGGGATTCTTTGTATATTCCTGATACTTTTATCAGTTATAGATGCTGCAAATATAATTTTCTATTTTTTAATTTTGTTTTTTTCACTCTCTTTAAAGTATATTTTGTTGAATAGAGGTCCGTACTTTAGTCTAATTTGTGACATTTCTTATTTCATTAATGATTTTTTTGTTTAGCGTAAAAATCTCACTTTATCTCCCAACAGCAAAAATATATTCTTGTTTATTTCATTCTAAAAGTTTTAAAACTTGACATTTGACATTTAGCTCTTTGGTCTGAAGTAGGGTTTAAGAACAGTGTGATAGGAACGCAGTTTTGGTATTCCCAATGTGTCACCAATTTTTCCAGCTCCGATAACTATATATATTCTCTCCTATATCCTGTGCCTCCTCTGCCACCTTTCAGAGCGTGTGTGAGTGTGTATCCTGAGCGCTCCGTCTTTTTTCCAATGCCTGTCTTCTCTCTGTGCCAGTACCATGATTCTTCAAATCTATAATCCCCTAATAGTGTCTGATAAGGTAGATGTCCTTCTCCTTATTCTCGCCTCTCTGGTCTTCCATGCAAATCTAGTCAGACCGTCAAGTTCCATGATAACTTGGTGGGCAATTTACAGGGAATTGTATTGAATTCACATATTCATTTGGGTAGAATCGTTGGTTTTATATTTTTAAATTCTTCACTGATAAACCTCTTTATAATGTCTTTAAGTAAAGTGTTATCATTTTCTCCATCTAGATCATGTGTATTTTGCTAGTCTTCACGGAACTGTTCCTCAGGCATACCAGACTCAATATTTTCAGTGCAGTCACACTCACCTCTTGCCTTATGAGCCCTGTCCTGAGAGTCCTCACTGTACCCCAAGTCTGAACCTCAAGAATCAGCTCCCCTCTATCCCCACATGTCCTTGGACTCCGATTAGCACCGTCTTCTCGTGCTGTGCAGTGCCTTTGTACATTGTCTTCTACGGCTACAGTGTCCTTCTCACTTTCTCTTGGTGGCAGCTATTATGGTGCCAGTAGGGCTCACATCGTGGGCACCTCCTATTGGAAAACTCCCCTGATCTTTTCCTACACAGAGTTAGCCAAACTCAAGGTTAAGGACACAGAACTCAAGACTGCCAAGTCTGCCCAGGTCTTCTGACACCAGCTATAAGTTCAGGGATCTCCCAAAACCACCCTCAGCTTCAGTGATTTGTTAGAAAGACTCAGAAAACTCCCTGAAACCTATTATACTCACTATCATATTTATTACAGATAAAGGATATAAATTAGAGAATTGGAATGTGAGGCTTGAAGTGTTCCAAACACAAAGCTTCCATAACCCTAGCAACTTGTTACTTCCTGGCTGCAAAGTACACAGAGTATTACTCACTGGGTATCCAGATTTTTATTGAGACATCCTTACATAAGCACAATTGATTCTTTGCCAGGGAGACTCAATTTCCAGCCCCCCTTCCCTTTCCAGAGGCCCAGCTGATATCATATGGCTCAAAGCCCCAACTTTCTAATTACACGGTCTTTCTGGTGTGGCCAGACCTTGTCCTGAGCCAACTCTTTAGCATAAACTATCTAGGGGCTCATAATGAGCTGTCTGTTGTCATAAACTATTAGGTACGTTTCTAGGGGCCCACCATGAATAACAGATACTCCTCTCACTCTGGATATATCTAGAATTTAGAGGTTACTTCTTTGGTGACAAAGATCATAGTTCTCTTTGGGGGGAGTTAATTTTGCGTTAAACACTTCTTGTCTTCCATTGGGACTGCATTAGATGCCCTTTCCTAGTGCTCTTATAGCAAGTAGGATGTTCCCGCTCAGAGGAAACTCAAAACACAGTGTCATGTTATTCTGTCCAGCCATGTCCAGTCTGGAATTGTGGGAGTATCTCCAGTCCAGATCTGCTGTCTTCTCATCCAGCTACTGCCCTTGGTCTCCCATTCAAGGTGTCAGCAGTCCAGGGACCAGGACAGAAAGAAATTGCAGTCCTGGGATTCAGAGGTAGCAAAACGTAGACACAGAGGCACTATTTTCATTTTCATATTTTTTACTAAAATGCTGATATTTTTCCTTATTCTTATGTGTTGAGATTACTAATAGACCTTTTTCTGTACTGGGTTTCTGTTAGGTAACAAAGAAAAATTCAAGACCACAGAACCTACCATTTGTGAGCCAGAACTGTCTGAGGGAGCCTTACTCCAGGAACAACCAACACAAAAAGTTCCAGGGGACTGGCAGGTGAACCAAACCAAGGAGCAGGCTGGTCCATCAGAATTGCATAAAGGACACAGGAGACCAGGGATAGACCCCCAGAAGGAGAAGTTCCCTGGGAGCCGTGAAGGTGGCAGCTCAAGGACAGCTGCTGGTGTGTGTTCAAAGATTGTACAGGAGCCAGTCCCTCCAGGAGATGCTGTCTTTGACCATGACTCATGCAGATTAAGTAAAGATCCCATGACTCAGGAAGAGGAAAATATCTTTAAATGCAATGAATGCGGGAAAGTTTTTAATAAGAAACACCTTCTTGCTGGGCATGAAAAGATTCACTCTGGAGTGAAGCCCTATGAATGCACAGAGTGTGGGAAAACGTTTATTAAGAGCACACACCTCCTGCAGCACCACATGATCCACACTGGAGAGAGGCCCTACGAGTGCATGGAGTGTGGGAAAGCCTTCAACCGCAAGTCATACCTCACACAACACCAGCGGATTCACAGTGGAGAGAAGCCCTATAAGTGCAATGAGTGTGGAAAGGCCTTCACCCACCGCTCCAATTTTGTCCTGCATAAGAGGAGACACACTGGAGAAAAATCCTTTGTGTGCAAAGAATGTGGGCAAGTTTTTCGACATAGGCCAGGATTTCTTCGACATCACATCATCCACAGTGGCGAGAACCCTTATGAGTGCTTCGAGTGTGGCAAGGTCTTCAAACACAGGTCGTACCTCATGTGGCACCAGCAGACTCACACTGGGGAGAAGCCCTATGAGTGCAGTGAGTGTGGGAAGGCCTTCTGTGAGAGTGCAGCCCTCATTCACCACTACGTCATCCACACTGGGGAGAAGCCCTTTGAGTGCCTCGAGTGTGGGAAGGCCTTCAACCACAGGTCCTACCTCAAGAGGCACCAGCGGATCCACACTGGGGAGAAGCCCTATGTGTGCACTGAGTGTGGAAAGGCCTTCACCCACTGCTCCACTTTCATCTTGCATAAGAGGGCCCACACTGGAGAAAAACCTTTTGAGTGCAAAGAATGTGGGAAAGCCTTCAGCACCAGGAAAGACCTTATTCGACACTTCAGCATCCACACAGGGGAGAAACCGTACGAGTGCAGTGAGTGTGGGAAGGCCTTCAATCGCAGGTCAGGCCTCACGAGGCACCAACGGATTCACAGTGGAGAGAAGCCCTACGAATGTATGGAGTGCGGGAAAGCCTTCTGCTGGAGCACGAATCTCATTCGACACGCCATTATCCACACTGGGGAGAAGCCATATAAGTGCAGTGAGTGTGGAAAGGCCTTTAGTCGCAGCTCATCCCTGAGTCAGCACCAAAAGATGCACTCTGGAAGAAACCCTGCCAGTGTAACAGAAGTGGGAAGACCTTTCACCAGTGGACAGACTGCAGTCACCCTTCGAGAACTCCTGTTGGGGAAAGACTTTTTGAATGTAAGCACTGAGGGAAATCTTTTGCCAGAGAAAACATCTATCACATCATCTGATTGTGCATACCAAAGAGAAACCCCACAAGTATCTTCACTGTGAGAAAACCTTTTGTTGCAGATCATCACTTGTCATGTGAAGATGCTTTAGAAATTGACCCCCGCCTATAGCCTTATTCTGCATCTGAGAATGTATCCATGAGACAGAGACCAGTCTTCCTAGGCACCAAGGAAATCCTGCACTTACATCTTTCTCCTTAGGTTACACTGCAGTTTTATCTCAGGAATTTTTCTTGGAAGAGACTTAGAAGAGAAAATACAGTGAGGTTTCATTAAGCCTATAGCACTTTCTCATGGATTACTTAGTTTACTTGGGGCAATGAGAATGTTGTTTCGGGGCCAGAGGGCCTTGACCTTTTATGTGTTTTGTGTACATTCATTGCTGTCCACTGTCAGGAGGGTTAGAGAGTTGAGGGCATGTACTTAAGGAGATAAGGATACACATAAGAATAAGCATATTTTATTGCATCAGTTAAAACTATTAAAGCTTTGATTTTTTAAAAAACTATGGGGTTTTAAAACCTAACACCCCAATTTATTGTTTTATTTCTGTACCTATACTGTAAATCTTAAAATTGAGTAAAGGGATTCCTCTCTTTTTATTATTTAAAATTGACTTAGCTTTCCTAGTTCTTTTGACTTTTCATGTAAATCTTAAGATGTCTATTACAAAAAAAAAAATCTTGCTCTCATTTCAATAGAAATCTGTAGATCAAGAATTGGCATCATGGACAAGTACACTGATTAAATTTATTTAAGTAATTGTTTTATTTCATTAACATTTCATAATTTTTAATGTACTGAAATTTTTTCTTTGGATTTGTATCTAGGTTTTTGTTTTTGTTTCTTTTGAGTGATAGTAAATGGGAATTGTTTTTTAAACTTTAATTTTCCACATGATCTTTGGTAGTACACAGAAATATAATAGTTTTAGGGATGTTTTGATATCCCCAACCTTGCAAAATTCACTTGTTAGTCATTTCTTTGGATAGAATCCTTATGATTTTCTGCCTAGAAGCGTCAGCTGCAAATAGTTTTATTTTTTCCTTCTCAACTTATGTACCTGTTACTTTCTTTTCTAGTCATATTGCACTAGCTAAGACTTCCTATGATGTTGAATAAGAGTAGTAAGAAAGGACATCCTTTACTGCTTCCTGATACTAGGGGAGAAATGTTCAGTTTTTCATCATTTAGTACAATGATAGTTAAAAGTTTATTTTCATAGAGTTTTCTTACCAAGCTTATAAAATTACCCTCTATTCCTAATTTGCTGAGGGTTTTTTTGTTATGAATAAGTATTAGATTTTGTCAAATGCTTTATCTCCATTAATTGATATGGTCATCTGAGTTTTCCTCTAGCCTGTTTGATATGATGGTATTGTATTAATTGAATTTTGAATGTTGAACCAGCCTTGCATTCTTAGAATAAACCCATTAAATGGTGGAGTGTAATTCTTTTTATATACATATTAAAGCATTCCATTCGATAATATTTTGTTTAGGAAGTTTTTTTCTAATTTCTTGAATGGTATTAAAACTCCTGATCTGGGTAAATATGGAACTATTGAAAGTACCTATTTCACACTAGATAAATTAGAAGTATAGTCGATCCTTGAATAACATAGGGTTTGGGGCACTGACCCCACACACGTTTGAAATCCACATATAACTAGTAGCTTTCTCCATACACGGATTCCAAACCGTGGATCAAAAATACAGTTGGCCCTTGAGCAAGGCAGATTTCTGCACATGAGTAGACCAACACTGTTCAAATATGCATTGTTCAAGGGTCAATCGTACTATAAATTTCCTTCACGGCACTGTTCTAGCTTTATTTTAATGTGTTTCAGTTACAACATTCAGTTATAAATATTTCCTGATTCTTTTAGAGACATAATCTGTGGATTATTTGGAAGTATGTTTTATTTCTTAATGTTGGGAGTATTCGTGCTGGTTTTTTGTTTTGTGTTTTTGACTTCTGGTTGTTTCATATTTGGCCTGTTTAAATTTGTTGAAGTTTGCTTTATGACCCAGGATATGGTTTATCTTCTTGAATGTTCTGTATGGCTCCTGGAAAAGAATGTGTGTTCTGCTGTCATTGGGTGGGGTTTCTTTCCGTAAATGTCTGCATGATCCTGTTGGTGATATTATTCAGATTTTCTACATCCTTGCCGAGTTTTCTTTTGTCTAATGTTTCTATTGATAGTTGAAAGTCCTGCAGTAGTTGTGGAAGTGTTTTTTAATTTCTGTTAGGTTTTACTTCATGTATTTCAAAGCTGTGTTTGGTGCATGTACATTTAAGATTGCTATGTCATCTTGGTGTATTGACCCTTTTATCATGTATCTCTTTACTTTTGTTCATTTTCTTGCCTTTGAAGTATACTCTATCTGGTATTAATATAGTTCTGCATATTTTTATTATTTGCATAGTTTCTATACTCTGTAATTTTATTTTCAACCTTATGTATATCATTACATTTGACTAAGTTTCTTGTAGTAACACCTTGTCAGGTCATGCTTTTTTATCCATCCTGCCACTTTTCATTGGTAGATTTAGATCATTTAAATTTTAAGTAATTACTGATATGTTAGGGCTTAAGTGTTCCAGTTTATGATTTGACTTTTTTTGTGTGTTTTCCTGTATCTTGTACCTCTTTTTTTCTGGCCTTCCTTTGGGTTTCTTCAACATTTTCTAGAATTCCATTTGACTTATAATGTTATTTGAGTTTGTGTCTAATTTCTTTTAGTAGTTACTTTAGGTACTGTATTGTACAAACAAAGATAACTTATTACAGTCTAACTTTATCAGCAACTTAGCATTTTGATGTGTAGAAATCTTAATTCCATTAGGTTCCTTTACATTTCCCTTTTTTTTCATTATTAGAGGTATACAGTACTTTAGTTAGACATTTATATAGTTTATGAAATGATCCCCCTGATTACTTGATCACCCATCTGGTTTTATACACAGCCATTACAATACTACTGACTAGATTTTCTATGCTCTACTCCACATCCTCATGGTCATCTGTCAACTACTAATTTGTACCCTTGAACCCTTCACCCCTTTCTCCTAGCTCCTCAACACCCCTTCCCTCTGGCAGTTACCAGATTGTCTTCTGTATCTGTGAATCTGTTTTCATTTAGTTTGTTCCTTTTGATCCTTAGATTAGCATATATAAGTGAAATCATATGGTATTTATTTTTCTCTGACTTATTTCACTCAGCCTAATAACTTCTAGGTCCATCCATGTCATTGTAAATGGTAGAATTTCATTTCTTTATGGCTGAGTAATATTCCATTACCTATATGAACCATAAGTTCTTTATCCAGTTGTCTGTTTATGGGCATTTAGGTTGCTTCCTACATTCTTAATATAATCATTCTAAGTATTTCCTCTTCATACACTGAGAGTCATATTGAATATTTTTATAATTCTGCCTCAACTGCCAAATGCTTTGTACAAAACTCACTGTTCCTTTTCCTAAAATAGATCAAACCATGCTCGTTATCTGCAAATTAATTTTCTTATTTCACAATATATCTGGGCCATCCCTAAAGGTTGAATGAGATAAACCAAAGTCACTCTTTAATGGCTGCATAATCTGTGCAGAAAATACAGGCAACATCTGGGTTTAAGGTCAGGGGGTCGGGGGTGGGGGTAGAGAAGGGCTAATGCATGCATTTGGGTTTTGATGTTTTTTGAGGTGCCTGAAAAACATCTCAGTGAATCTCATTCTATTTGTTGTCCAAGCCAGGCACCTCACAGTCATTTTTCTTTCATTATCCTGCATCCAGCCACTGTCTCATTTTGTTCATTTTACTTTTTCTTTTTCCCCTTGATAGTATGTGTTTTAGTGAATGGCCACACACACTAGTATGTTTTTATTCTAATGTTGGGTTCCCCACAGAGTGCTTACACAAAGCCGTGTGTATAGTCAGCACAGTATATAACATGTTGACCTCAAAGAGAATCTACATGGGCTTTAATGGCCAGATCTGTAAGATTTTAGAAGACATAATGAATAATTGTGTCGGAGGTCCTTAAGATACCCCAGGTTTGAGGATATGCTAGGAAGACTGCTATGATTTATTATAGCGAAGGGAATCAAAGCAAACTCAGCCAAGGGAAAAGGCACAAAGACTGAAGTCCAGAGGAAACCAGGGACAATTTTCAATAGTCCTGTCTCAGAAAAGTCACAGAGGACATGACTAATTTAAACTCTGTCGAGTTATGACAATAAATTGAAATGTCTGTTAGGGAAGCTCATTAAATATGCAGTGCCCGGGGATTTTAGAGGGCAGTCTTTCTAGTGCATGCCAAATGCTAGACCTTCACAACAATAGCAGGTGTTCAGCATAAGCCACATTATTTACCTTAGCACACTGAGGTACTAAGAGTCGTGACTCTGAAGTAAAGTGAAAGCTTATCTATAAATAATACCACTGTAACCAAAAAGATCACTAAGTCACAGAACAAATTCTGAACTAGCCCAGATTTAATTTAGTGATGACAAAGTAGAGAGGAAATCTGATGAAAAAGGACTTTGCCTCTTCCTAATACTGATACACGTGTATGTGTGTGTATATGCACCACTTAGGTCCCTATATATGTGCCATATGAACATGTGCATACTACCTGTGTATAACAAAATGGTCTAACTTGCAAATATGCTCATTGTTTTCCTTCGTCTGTAAAGATGTAAAGGCCAGATCAGTGCTCTGTTTCTATAGCACTTATGTCAACAATTCTCATCTCTGTTCCTGCCATTAATACTTGTAGCCTCTGGCTTCAACAAACAGCTAAAGAAAAGGTGCATCATTCAGTGCTTGAGAC